CTCTATCGGGAGGTAAGGCAGAAGGTGGGTTGTGACACACCACATCTTGAAATTCCTTGACTAAAGGATATAACGGATCCAAAGGATCTTTAGGGATCGAAGATCCACTTCGTGCACTAAGTGCCGCCTTTATATCCTCTAGGACAGACTCATCCATAAACGAGGAAGAATACAACTCAGTATCAGGTCTAATGACCGCTAACTCGAATAACTCTCCTGCCTTTAAGGCCTGGCTAAACTCGCCATCAGACAATTCGTCTAGCTCACAAAGAGCGTCCACGGATGGAAGGGTTTCAAGGCAAACACTGCCATCAACCCGACCAGTCACTCCATTAACAAGTGTATATAGTGCATTACTATTATCACGATGTGACTGTGGAGACGCCTGGTGCTTAAAAGTAGCTACCCGGCGTCTCGATCGTCTCTTCGAGACCTTACACCCCTTAGGGGTCGGGACAATATTGTCCCCATGGTTACTACCAACCATAGTACGCTCTATACGAGAGCTTTTGTCTTGACCGACATTAGGTGTGGTGCCCTCACGGCCGTCCACACTATACGGCGTATCGCCAACAGTATCATTACTGACATTAGGTGTGGTGCCCTCACGGCCGCCCACACTATACGGTGTATCGCCAACAGTATCATTACTGACATTAGGTGTGGTGCCCTCACGGCCGCCCACACTATACGGCGTATCGCCAACAACGCCATTACCGGCGTTAAGCGTGGTGCCCTCACGGCCGCCCACACTAAATGGCGTATCGCCAAAAATGTCATTACCGACATTCAGTGCGGTGCTCTCACGGCCGACCGCACTCGGTGTAGTTTCACGTGCCACCATACACACATCAAAGGAATCACATCCTTGATCACTCGGCCCTAGGCCAACCATGCTTTCAGCATGCAGTGACTCGTTATCACAACGAGTAACACTCAACGGAGTACGTGCCGTTTCACTAGTTTTACGAGCTAAGCTCGAAACTTATGTTTGTAACATTGGAGTTAGATAACTCAGACATTCCAATATCCAGCACATTGACATCTTCTGTCAAAGGCTCGCGCCAGTAGCGTTTTTGTTGCCTAGCGAAGGTGGGTTCATGACTCTCCAAAGCTTCGCCAGGAACATTGCGCGTAGCGCCTAAGGTCTTGGACCTCCAATCAATCCATGGCTCATGGCGCTCAAGCCAAGCCATACCTAGGATGAGATCATATCTCGAGTCCAAATCTAGGACAAGACAGCGCTCAATACTGTCAAAGTCTAAAAACTTTATACCTAAGTTCAATGGAACTTTAGGCACAGTTACGCGACTTCCAGTCGCTAAACGAACCGTGATAGAATCACCCTCATGCGCTGTAAGCGCCTCAGCATAACGCTGACTTCCCTCAAGGGAACGGCGTCGAGCATAATTGCAAGACGCTCCAGAATCGATCAATATCGACCAAGGCTTCTCAAAGCCCTTAATTTTCGCCTCGGCGACCAACAAGCCAGACTTGTATCCACGCACCATACCTGTAGGTATGGTACTCTTTGGGGCTAAGCCCTGCATTCCTTTACCTTCTAAAGGTGTAACAGAACATAGTTCTTCCCCAGTAGGGCGCCCCGCGCCTACTGGGTGTCGGCATTTCCCCGTGCCATGCCAGACTTCTGACTCGGGGTCGAGTGTTGGCTCGTAGCCTGGCGTTGCTTACGCAAAGGGCAACCAGGCCGCAAGTGTTTAGTGCTTCCGCACGTAAAGCATCGTCGTACGACGTGTTGCTGCTCAGCAGCTTGAAGCTCAGCTTCACCTCCATCTTCAGCATAGCTGAGATCCATCGGTTCCGGCCTATTATAGGCAGTGGTACCCGAATAGTTTGCTCTCACAGAGCGAGGATTGAATCCATTCCAACCAAGTCTGGCCGACTTGAAGTTATGCTCAGCATTAAGAGCAATTCTCACAGCCTCTTCAAACGTAGAGGGGTGAACCCGAAAAACCTCGGTTCTGGCAATGCCAGTACGTAGACCTTCCATGAAGATAGTCACATGGACTGCTTCAGGCAGAGGGTCAGACTGCATTGCAGCCATGAGCGTTCGCAGCTCTTGGACATAGTCCGATAGTTCATTTTTACCCTGGCGGGTAGAAAGAAAGCGTGAACGCACGCGGTAAGCCTGGTTAGGTGGAGAAAACACCTGTACCAATTGTGACTTGAGCGACTCCCATGTGGGAAACGCTATGTCCACCGACGTGCTACACGTCAAGGCCCATTCTCTAGCTCTACCATCGAGCTTCGAGATAGCCAGCGAGACCTGTTGATGGTCAAGCGTGATCAGACCTGATCTCATGGCCATCTCGATCTCACGGATCCAGAGGATGAGGTTCTCACCCTCCTTACCGGAGTAGTTTTTTACTTCCACTCTAAGTGGACGAGGCTTAGCCTCTTCGTCTGGTACAGACACGTAGCGTGTAGGCATAGCCGACGCTATTTGGTCTTGGACCTGCCCTAAAAGGGTCGCTTCATACTGCATGAAGCTTTCAACACGTGCATTAAGCACTTCAGGACCTTGTGAAACAAGGAACTCCACGTACTCTGGACCCAAAGATGCGGTCAGCTTATCAAGCGCGACCTTTTGGGCCTCAGATAGGGGAGTGGGGTTTTCCATCCTCACAGGGGATCAGTCTTAAAGACTCAGGCGTAGATTGACTACGAGTGCTACCAAGTGTAGCGGAGCTACACAGCTCCTTAAGTCAGAGGAAGACTTAACGCTCTACGAGCAACTTAGTTCCAAAGAACTAAGGACTTTACGAGTCAACAAGCTTTACTGCTTCAGATCCCTGTTCCAGGGGGACCTAACGATTCAGTGAATCGACAGCACTCAGTGCTCAAGAGTAGCTACCTCAAGGAGGTGTCGCTAGCTCTTAGTGATCAGTGATCAACGATCAAGACGGCTCGCAAGCCACGTGTCCTTCAGATCAAAATGGGAACTGATTTTATTTTGTTAAAGCCTATAGAGTATCGTAATCCTACTCAAAGATCTTTCGTACCTAATGGCTGAGACTCGTCAGCCCCTACAAACCAATAAGATATTCGATATCACCTTCACAAAGGGATAACCTCAGGTGTGTAACACCCCTGGTACAAAGTACCATAATTTCGTGCAACCCCGTTACAATGATGGCGACTTTTGTTCGTCTTGCCAGATCGTACTGTCGAGACAAGAAATATTGGGCGGGACTGTACTGAGCCTATGACTCGGGTCACGGATTGATCTCAACCTACGCAAGAATGAACCCTGGAGATTGTTGCCTTCCGTTTTTCCTTTTCCTTTCGGGCATCAGCTAGGTCCATCTTCATCCTTCTTTAGGCTTTGCTTTTTCCCCTCTCAGCCACATCCGGAATGTGCCTGGCTTCTCTCGCACTTTTTATAAGGTTAAACATCCTTGTCGCGACACGATTCTGCGACCTTCGACCGATCGAGAGCGGATATGTTGCATCCACAGTCTGCCTCGGTGGAAACCGAAACGACCGTCTGCTTGAATTCCGAGAAGGGGCTGCACGACAGACGTTTTCGTAGAATCGAACTGATAGTCCGCTCGAACGCCGGAGATGAGGAGGAGGAGTATCGTGATCGTCTATTTCAAGTTAATGTGTTACGATACAATCATGCATTTGAGCCAGCAACTAAGCGCTGGATCCAGCAACATGTCGTGGCACGCCTTAGCAAGAGGCGAGGTATAGGGCGGGACGAAATCACACTACTGCAACCTTCCTTTCAAGTGCTCTCGGTGCATCGTTGCTCTGTCAGCTGGGAAGAGAGGAACGGCCTCGATGGAAAGCCTAAACGAGGCGACAACCATGAACGACGATGCAACAGCGCAGAATGTGAGAGCGTCACCATCAGTGATAGCAGGTCCCAAAGTGCGCGATCGGCAAAGGGATGATGCGTAGGGCGGAAACACCATCAGCCGTAATATCGGCGTTCCTTTCGGACACCGAGAAGACACGCTGCACGCAGACGCCCGATAGCATACGAACAGATCGTCTGCTCGAACACAGGCCGCACCCGCAGATGTACCGGTCAAACCGATCGATCGCTGGAGCTCTAGCATCTGCGAAAAATGCAACGCGACGTCTCTATTTCATTACTGCCATGCCAGTTCACCTGTTGGGTTTGTAATAAACACGCGGCTGCTACAAACGCACTTGTGAGCGCCGTACCCAACTACGACGAGACACGACTGCGTTGAGTCACGAGTAATTTCCCAGACGCACAAACGCGTTAAGCAATGAACAACATTCGGACACTATTGGGAAATACTTCTGCTTCAGTCTTGTGACTAATGCGACGCTGGGAGCTATCAACAACAAGCATGCGTGATCTCCAGTGTATCATAACACTAGTTCACCGCATCACGAGCGGCTATCAGGCTGTCAAGAGGTATGCAAGCCAAAGTGACAATCAAGCTGGTATTCAGTTTTCCATGTCTACGCCCGAGCTTCGTCGTTCGATCGCAATGAACTATCCACATCGGCCGCCATCGTGCTGTTGTATAACACGTCGTAAGATGATGAACGAAGCGGCTATCCCTTCTCTCGCAACGTTGTGGGACAGGCTTTCAGAAATGCCGGAGACCAAAGCGCTTGAGTCCGCGTGTCCAGCTTTTTCCATTCGACAATTTGCCGCAAAGCCATAACATTCAGCCTACTTGCGCCCACTACTATGTTTTCGCCGGACAAGCTATTCTTCTCTGTGGCAGTCGCGATTCTTCTCATCGGCGATCAGGGCTCCACGAAAGCAGCAAGGACTTCAACTGCTCTTCGGACCTCATACAAAGCGCACAGATGCCCCCCGATCCTTGCAAGCACTGAGCTCTGGTCATGAGGAAACTAAAGCCAACGGAGAGAGAGTGGGTGCATATTTTGAGGCGCTAGTTAAAGGGATTGCGTCGCACATCGATACTTTCATTCATAAGAAACCGGAGAGCGTTCCCTTGACGCCTGAGCAGCAAGAGGCACAGAATATGCTCTTACCGCTTGGTGGGCTGCCACAGGGTCACGACTTCGATTCTTGGCTTGTGAAGGAGACCAAACGTTATCTCGACGGACACGATAGCTTGTTTAAAATCTGGTTGCGTAAAAGTCTGACTCCCGAGTATGTGGAAGCTGCTTTCAAGGAAGCGGGCAAAGCCGATCACGACAGCGCAAAGTTCCTGGTGGGTGTCTACAAAAAAATGTTTGATGTTTATAGAGAGCAGGGCTGGGTATTGATGGCGGACGAAGTGGCGGCGCAGGCTAAATTGTTGAAACTCAGTGGGATGGGAAGCCATGAAAACTTCGGCAGATGGCTGAAACATGTTGTGAACGAAGAAGACATCAACTTACGTGGTGGATTGTTTGACAAGTGGCTCGACAAAGCAAAGCACCCTGACCGGATCGCTGGTATGTTCAAGGAAGCTGGCAAAGCTCATGACACTGGCGTGCAGGACTTGATAAAACGCTACAGAACAACTTTCGACCAGCATGAACAGGCCGACAGGATAGTGATATTGAAACAACAAGAGGTGCAGGATGAACTGGTGAAACTCAGCGGAAAGACTGGTCACCACAAGTTCGATGCATGGCTGACAAAGGTTGTGAGCGAAGGCCTTGTTCGGCAAGAGCACTGGTTCGAAAAGTGGCTCATAGATGGAAAAAGTTCCAAGTGGTTTGCGCGCAAGTTCGAGGAAGCTGGCAAAGCTGATCACCCCAATGCAAAAAAGTTTTTGAGGTTATTCGAAGAATTCGAAGAAAAACGTAGGCGTCAGTTCTACAGCACTGACTTCGAAGCAAACTGAATAAATAAAACATGGCAACTTCCTCAGCCTACACGTCGTTTTGATATTCGTGAACTGTACTAACTCGCTAATGTCCTCATTCCGCACCTTCAAGCAGTCAGGTCATGCGAATCTTACCTGGTCTCCGATACACTGTGTCAGTTGAATGGGATTCGTTTAGTGCAGTGCTCTCGTTTGCTAGCTTTTTAAACGGATAGGACAGCAGACTCGGTAATGATAAATGAGTACACAGACGTAATTGGTTGCATGCGCTGGCCTTGGTTCGCAGAAAGGGAGAGCTATGTTGGGTCTGTTGTGCACTGTTGGGGGGTAATGTAGATGACGTGGCCAAATTGATGCTGTGTCTCGCCAATTCCCTAGCACCGACTGACTAAGTACGTGCCCTGCATAAATTGTCGTAAAACACGCCGATGATCGAGGAGAGAGGCGCAAGCGTCAAGCGTTGCAGAACAATAGATTGGCAATACAAGATCAAATCGGATGTTCCGCTGTTGCTGAAAGGACTAAACAACGAATGTTACTATAACGAACAAGTAAAGACTTGGCCATTTACACAATTGTGTAGCACTTACCATTCGTCGCTGTGCAATGGTACTATCTAGGCGGGGGCAACCGTACTCGACGCCTTCGGCCGATGTGTGACGATTTGAACAATGTCTTAGCGGCGCATTTGCTGGATGTAGAGGTTTTTAAAGATCGCCTACTTGGCGCAATCTCAGTTCGTCATCAGCTTTGTGAGGTTTGCTCATGTTGCTGATTGCATTAACTGTTGCGTCTACATTGTTTGGCTCGACAACTCGCGGTTTTGTATGTTTCGTGGTTTCGTAAACATGGTGACGCTTGTTGGAAGGTTTATACCCTTAGGCCCTCGGCAAAAACACGGTACATCGCGTAACCGAGAACGCGAGCTAGAGTCTGATTGCCGAGACGACCCCCGATATGAGTGAAGAGGGTAGAAATATAGATGGAGGTCGGCGTGTCGTCTCAGGTAGCCATGACGTACTGTCAAGTGCATGGTTACCGCTGCGTGCATATCTCTGACTACCATAGCTTACGACTCATCGAGCGCAGCGGTTACACGGACGGGATCATTATGTACATCGTTTAGTCTACGATGCTGAATAGCGTGTCATTGGGACTTCAAGTTGAAGCAGTTTTCGTTCGGTGCTTTCCTAAGGAGACTTCATTAAAAGCGGTAAAATGTGATTGCGAACCCGAAAATGGGAGCTATTTGTGAGTGTGCGCAAGGTTGAATGCCGAGCTTTTAAATCGTACTTATCTGCGGGTGTGTCGGTGTGTCTGTAAATAACGCGGCGAGATGTACCACGCACGAACTAAGTGCGATCTTGCCTGCTCCCCTCATTAGGTATAGTAATATCCGATGTCACTCTTTCTGGGTAGGTCACTGTTGTGGCACCCACTTGTGATTGGTTTAAAACCGATCAAAGGTAAATATTAGCAAATGCTGGATGCTCGTAAGCACAGGCCGATCGCGTTGCCCAAGTATACTGTACTAATTTTAATCCAATCATTAGCAGCATCGTACTCATTCTTTAGTGACTGCTGCTGTATATGTTTTGCAACTTGAATCAGTTCTCCGAACTGGATTACTCATAATAAAGGGCAAGCTCCAGAGCTTTCTCCCCTATCCTATGCCTATGTGCGAATCCATAAATACCAAGTGGTATAGATCACATACGGACACTAATTGCGCATGGAGCAAAGTCAATAAGAAAGCGAACTCCCGGGGATGAGAATTGCATGTCCATTCATCGAGAGCAGCAGCAAGTATAGCGTGCTCGTTGTAGAGACCGACCGTTTATAGCTATACGACGGTAGAAACACGATAACCTTGTTCGTCTTCATGATCTTAACCGGCGCACGAATTACAGGTTAGCGCATCGATGAAGAACTGTAAGGAGCTGGTGCGTATATGAGAAGGCCAAGTAGTTGGCAAGACTACCTTTGATGGGACCTGGTGCGCCTGTCGCATATCATTACATTTAAAGTTGAGTACAGTAGAATAAAACCCCTTCTACCAAATAATTGCGAAATTGGAAAGCGCAAGATGGGTGAATAACATGCGTGTAATGCGAGCTCGAAAATGAAAAGGATTCAATAAATATGTAAAAATACTACCAATCTACAAAATGCAAGCCTCGAGTTTCTGTAAACTTGCTTTGGTCTGCATGAAAAAGTGTCCAGAACAAGTCGACTCTGCACCTTGCGCTGCGCTGTGGCAATCAACCAGCGAACTCCAAACAGAACTAAGGCGACTTGTATCGTTTTCGATACTCTAGTTTGTAATAAGCTGTTTTACTCTCATTTGATGCAACATTTTGTCGTAGGCAAATTGCTGTTACCATCCAGCACTTTTGCTACAGATCGAAAGTAAGTATATTGTAACTCATTCGAAGACCGTGCAAAATCGTAGTGGATCGAGCACTCGCGGAGGTCTCACAGTGATACATCGTCTTTCGTATCCACTAAACGCTTGGTTTTCGTCATAAAGTTTAGTAACAGGCAAGTAAGATAGGTACAGAAGATCGGCATACTACGACGCCATCATGAGAAAATTGTACCAGAGCAAAACGATGGACCACGTGGTGTATAAATCGATCAATACACGATGACAACATGTGTTTAGGTCAGTTACCACTCCATATGAGTGAACCAGTTACCCCTTCTGCGATTTAGACATGCTTTAGCACCATTAAATTGATGTCCTTCCGAACCCCTTCGACCACCTGTTGTCCACAGATCACCGTTCGTGACTTAGCGTTGCAACACCAGCGATGGAAAGCGACGACAAAATGACAGATCTGCGAGTACAGGCACCGGGATAATAAAGCGGCGTTATTCGAGCAGTGATCCAATCGAATCGAATTTACAACCGTCCCTGTGATATCGTGTCAAATGACAAACGGTGGTACGCAGCAGTGTCCTCTCGACACGGCTTTTTGCTGTGCACTTTGCTTTTACGCACACATTCGGACCAAGAACAAGGTTTACTTATCACCTCTGTCAAGTACATGAGCTTTGGAAGGAGTCTCAAAGAAAAGCCACTTTGAAACACATTGAGAACAATCCTGCAGCCAGAGAGATGGTCACGACCCCAGCTTAATCGTAACTCTCGCGCCGGTTCGGGTAAAGTTGAAGGATGGCGGAATTTTTGCCATTACGTACGCTGTGTAAATGCTCGTCAAAGATGGAGATAGACCTATCATTTGAAAGTGGTATCGAGCAATACAGTCTCCTTCCATCCTATACGGGTGAACTGACGATCCGAGATTACAAAGCAATGCTTGGTTTTGTAAATATTACGTTTTAGTGGCTGAGCTGTACAACTGGTGTGTGGTTGTAATGGGCGAGATGTTTAAAAGTGGGGTGTGGACTCGTTGAAGGCGGTGTGTGGGCTTAGATCTCCTTAACTCAAAGAAGTAAATTGTAGTGAGTTCGTTATCGAAAAGGTTCGAGTCGTGTCTTATAACGTGCACTGCTCATATGCACACTTCTCGATCTGTAAATGCTCTTACCATGCGTTTTACTCAAATCATGATTAAAGGCTTTTTAGAAAACGATTACGCCGAAATTTGCAATCCGAAAGAAAAACGCGCATTTTTTTTGTACTTGCGCCATAATTTTGATGGCGCTGCTTACTCGAAGCTTGCGTCGTCACTCGCTTCTGTGCACCGGCCGCAAGTTCCCGTGGAACTCTCCAAGTCACCGAGAGCTGCGCAGTTACCCGATCAAAGTATTGTGTCGTAACTTAAAGTTCATTCGCAAAGCTGCGGGAAGTTACTACGAAGTGGAGCACGAGTACAACTTGGGAATCGTGCTCAAGCCATCAGAGGTCAAGTCCCTTCGAGACCACAACGCGGATCTGTCGACTGCTTTCGGCGCTTTTTACAAGCACGAACTTTATTTACATGATATGAACATTCCAGGTAGAAAGAAAGGCAATAGGCACGAATTGATAGCGGCAAAGCGCTCATTGTGCTACGTGGGACTGTGTTGATTTGACAGTGTGGCGTCAGGGACTTATTGGGCGGCCAGAGCCGACAAGGGAGCGCAAATTGCTGGCAAACCGGGCGGAACTGAACAAATTGGAAGATTTTGCGAACCGTCCAAATGCACAATTGGTACCCATTTTTCAGCAGACATCATCGGGACTTCTACTTTCGCGCTGACTATGTCGTTAAACTGCTGAACGTTAGATTCCCATGCGTGTTGAAGTCGGTATTACCGGGTGGATTAAGGTCATTCTGGCTGCGTGTTTCAAGCGAGGCCAAGTCGACAATCGCAGACGCGACGACCAAAGAGAGATCAAACGCCAGCTCCGCGACTGGTAGAAGGACCACAGCAAGAACTTCAATGCACGACAAGAGCGAGACGACACGTTTCGCAATTCAATTCAAAAACATATTGACGCCTTCTTCCGCACTCTTTTCTCCGATCATTTCGAACGCAGCAGTCTGCAGTGCTCGCCACACACAGCTGCTAGGCTCCTCTTCTTCGTATCACCGGTAATTCACTCCGCTTTTCTCGTCACGTGGCCTCCTATTTTTTTAGCAACAGCCTCCAGACTTCTTCTTGCCGCCTCCGTAGGGGTCCACAATCTCTGGAAGTGCGTTGCTCTCCGTTGAAGCCGTGGGCAGCGCCTGGCTGATCTGGATGAACAAATCTGACACGTTCGTGTCCTCCTTGGCACTCGTCTCAATAAACAACGCGCCAATCTCCTCAGCGTACACGCGAGCTTGAGACGCCGGCACCTCGCGTCTCTCCTCCAAGTCGCTCTTGTTTCCAGCAATAGCAATCACGATATTGTCTGGACCCAACTGCTTCAGCTCTTTCACCCAGTTCTTCAACGTCGTCAGTGATTGCTACCAAATCCCCGCCATAGTTCAACAACCTCGTCACTTTTCACAAATTCCCAACCCAATATCCAATAAACATCACCAGACTCTACCTTTCTCGTGATATCATACACAACAATAGCA